GCCCCTGAGGGAGACCCGGATGCACCAGACATCCCGACTCCTCGATCGTACGCTGAGGCGATTGAGGGTCCCTACTCCTTATAGTGGCAGTCAGCCATGGACGCAGAGATGGCTTCCTGGAAGTCCACAGGCACTTACGTCGACGAGGTTCCCCCACCTAGGGTGAACATCGTCAGTGGCATGTGGATTTTCAGGGTGAAGCGGCTGCCGGGTTCTCCGCCTGTCTTCAAGGCGCGTTATGTGGCTCGAGGCTTCAGTCAGCGGCAGGGAGTTGACTACTTTCAGACCTTCTCTCCCACCCCGAAGATGACCACTCTTTGGGTGCTGCTGCACATAGCGGCTCAGCGCGACTACGAGCTCCACTCTCTTGACTTCAGCACAGCTTTCCTGGAGGGCAGCCTGCATGAGGAGATCTGGCTGCGCCGCCCACCTGGCTTCACTGGGTCGTTTCCTCCTGGCACCCAGTGGAGCCTCCGACGGCCAGTCTACGGTCTCCGCTAGGCGCCCCGTGTGTGGCACGACACACTGAGGACTACACTTGCAGCTCTTGGGTTTGCTTCTTCTACAGCCGACCCGTCGCTGTTTCTGCGCACCGACACCTCTTTGCCGCCGTTCTACATTCTCGTGTACGTCGACGACTTGGTCTTTGCCACTGCTGACACTGCTGGACTCGCCCACGTGAAGTCCGAGCTGCAAAAGAGACACACGTGCACAGACCTGGGTGAACTGCGCAGCTACCTTGGCTTGCAGATCACCCGGGACAGAGCACAGCGCACCATTACCCTGACTTAGTCACACATGGTGCAGCAGGTCCTTCAGCGCTTCGACTTCACGTACTCCTCGCCTCAGGCCACTCCTCTGTCTACTCGCCACTCGCTCTCAGCTCTGCCTTCGGATGAGTCCGTAGAGCCGAGTGGCCCGTATCCAGAGCTTGTTGGCTGCCTCATGTACCTGATGACCTGCACACGACCTGACCTTGCATACCCTCTTAGCATCTTGGCACGCTATGTTGCTCCTGGGAGACACCGACCAGAGCACATGGCTGCAGTGAAGAGGGTGTTGCGCTACTTGTGCAGTACGTTGGGCATGGGGCTAGTGCTTGGAGGGCAACGTCGAGTGGTCCTCACAGGTCACGCAGACGCTTCTTGGGCTGACGACCAGGCTACGCAGTGGTCGTCACATGGTTACACCTTCAGCATTGGCTTAGGCTCTGTTTCGTGGCGGTCTACCCACTCGTCTTCTGTTCTCGGCTCCAGCTGTGAGGCTGAGATCTACGCGGGGGCCATGGCTGCACAGGAGCTACGCTGGACCTAGGAGAGCCGCCTCGTTCTCCTCCAGTTCTGTACGTAGACAACAAGGCCATGCTGGCCTTGTGTCGGGAGCACAGACTGGAGCACAGAACGAAGCATATTGCTCTCCGCTACTTCCTTGCTCGTGAGCTGCAGCTGCGTGGTCAGCTGCGCCTTGCTTAAGTGGCCTCTGAGGCCAACAATGCTGATATCTTTACCAAGGCACTTCTGCCTGGTGATCATCAGCGCTTCTGTACGATGCTAGGTCTTGTGCCTACTTGGCCTCACTTGCTCACTTCTTGACCTTGCTTGTACTGTGATCTTTCTATACCTGCACTTGCCTGTTTATCTTTATGTATGATCTTGCATGTGAACTGGCCTTGTGGCCTTGCTCCTGTGCTCGGATTGTGTGGTGACGTTGTGATCCACCCTGAGCTTGTTTTGCTTTGCTTGACTGGTCTTGTGACCTCTTGTTCTCCCCCACTTTGCCTATGGGGGTGTGTCAAACTTATATCATATGGTTTGTCTAGGCTATAGTGGGGTAGACACTATGGGGTACAACACTTCTAGGTTTTCCTACTTGTACCTACCTGCTTGCTAGTTCATTCATCCCTCATTGCTTCACACTTCGCGCTCAGGGCGCAATCTTCGAAACCTCGCTCTGCACTAATCTCCTCACTAAACAGCAGGATATCAACCTTACAACAAAAGAGGCAACAAGAAGGAGACAATCACCGTTTACATGGGTAGCACAAAAGCATCCCCGGAGAAAAGAAATATATTATGCAAGTACTACAAGAAGAGGAGACATGCCATCAAGCAGTGCTATAAGTGCAAAGGAGCAGAAGGCAACAACAACAACAATCAAGAACAATACCTTATCAGCAAACCGCTGGATCGCCAATGCGCAACCAAACCATATCCCCACCTGCCGTCGCCAGCATTTCACAGGCTCATGCGCACATCCTGCCGACAACAACAAAGGCAAGAGCAAGATGATAACTTGCATGGTGCGTCGTGGACTACCCCAAATCAGCCGTCGCTATCGCCACTTCTGCTGCTGGGAAGACATTTTTCAGGGGTAGAAGTAGACATCGATCCGACTTTTGACAGGGTTGAAAGCTGGGCGAATCCCTTTCGACTAAGAAGCTCCACAATGGATTGCTAAGTCACCTCCTGCAAGCATCGCATTAGTCAACGAAGGATGGGACTATGAGAAAGACCCAGATGTGGAGCATCATATCATACCGCTCATAATGAAATTCGCAAAGAAAAACCATGACATTAATAAATGGTACCTAGACAGCTGCTGTGGTAAACACATGGTCACCTCCAACCACTTCATCCTCAACAACAAAGAGCTCATCAGCGACGTGGAGATTACCATCGCAAAAATAATCAATCGATATGGGCTAGAAGTCGTGACAAATTCAGCTCGAGTCTAAGGACAAGAACTTCTCGATTCACATCAGCGATGTACTCGTGGTCCCGAGTCTTCGCTTGAATCTCCTCTCCGCCGCCCAGTTGATGAACTGTGGTGTCCAGCTGCAGTCACACGAAATGGTATGTCATTTGATTTACAAAGGTACTCTCATCGGAAAAGCAAGAAGCGAGAACGGCACGTTTGTGCTAAGCTTCGACTCACTTGGAAACATGGGCGACAAAGACCACATCCTCGTCCTTGAACCGCTAGGACAGCCTTCGCCGCCAACTTGGACTCATCATGTTGAAACATATGTGCAAAGACCAGGTCTAGACGGACCATGCCACTTGCCCGCTGTTCCCGTTGCTTCAACTTCGAACTCTGCAGACACGTGACCACAAGCAGTTGAAGAAAAAGTCATGAGACAGGGTGGATGGGAACAAGGAACCTACTGGCCAAGACTTGATCAACCTACGGGTTGGAATGTGGCCACCGGCAGAGACACGGCAAACGTCGAATGGGCAACACGCGGAACAGGCTAGGGACCTCCATCCGGGCAAACCGCTGATGCTGGAGAAGCCTGGGACGGCACTACTCGGCATCCTGGAAACACCGAAGAAGCGACTATATGCTTGCACATGCAGATATCGCGCTGAAGCAGACATCTGGCACTACTGGCTGCGACATCCATCCGTTGAAGCACTTAGCAATTTGATAAATGCCAAAGTGTTTGTGGAAGTCGTGTTGCTGCTGCCAAATGGAAATACACTTTAATCAAGAACAGACGTACCTACCTGCACTGTCTGTCCAAAAGCGGCCCTGGCACACAAACCCTTTCCAAGGAAAGTTAATGGCACCGAACGATTCAAGCCACTGGATAAAGTCTACAGCAAATTTTTGTGTCTCACCGTTTGTGAACTTAAAGGGGAACACTATACTATTACCTTCATCGACGTAGTTATGCGGTTTGCTTGGGCCGCAATTGCCTCCATTCGCAAACTCGTCTTCGATTGCTTCTATCTATGGTTGAAAATGGCACAGACAAAATACAAGGGCAAGAAACCCAGATAGACGGAGCAAGTGAATAGACCAGCGAGAGGCTCAGGAAGTTTTGCTCAAAGAAAGGGATTAAGAGGATGATATTGCTGCCCTACACTCACGAGCAGCAGGGTTTGGCTGAAAGAATGAACAGGAGCTCGCGACAAAATGAGAGCCCTCATGAAGCACTTAGCAGTGCCAACCACGCACTGGCCTTGCGCGATGGCCCATGCTGTGCGACTGCACAACATCCTGTTTTCAAAGGCCCTGCCCAACACTAACTCGCCATTCAAGGACTGGATGCGGGAAAAGCCGGATACACAAATGTTAAGGGTCTTTGGCTATATGGTACATTACCAGCCCCACACTGCCCGAACATGATATTTAGAGGATTGCACAAGGTGGGGCATCCACCTTGGCATCAAACCAGAGTACCATGCATGGACCACCTTCGACTTTGCCACCCACCAAGTCATGAGTTCACGTGACTACATCTTCTACAAAAGACTCACACTGCCACTGTTTCGTCAGCACCGCACTGCACAGCAAGCACCAGGAAACATCTTCTAGGAAGAGCACAGTTTCGCAAGTAATTAGGACGAAGTTCAAGTGGCAGGATGAGTGCCAGAAAATCAATTCAAAGGCGAGGCACACATCATCCCCGTTACAGAAGAGCGCAACAACCTGACATTCATTCCAACCAATACCAGCCCAGATGAGGCACTACAAGCTCAACACAACTACGGAAGTGCTGAAACACACTCAACCATGGAAGAAGACCCAAATTTGGATACCTCTCGCGACAGCATTCGTGACATCTCAAGCGACCACATTAACGCCGACGTGATCAAAGTGACAAACAAAGCAGATCAATGCAACAACTATGCACCTGTGCGCGATACAGTGTGAAGTCACCAGGTGAGGGATGTGGATGCAATGCAGGGTGAAGACTCATTTTATGTTGAATTTATATTTATCCATAACTGCATGCTAGACAGTGTAGTATCATCTAGGTTTTCTGTTGGTGGTGTACCCTTTGCCACCATATCTTGTACCTTGATTTCTAATGAAAACCCCTTCTCTCATCTCTCACGCTACTCATGCTAGTCACACCATGGCTCCTAAGCCTGTCAAGTTATTAGCTATTTCAACATGGTATTAGAGTGAGTTCATTCCCATGGGCCCATCGTTTTCTATCATGGCGCCTGTAAATGCGCTCGAAGCAGAACTTGATAGCTGCCCACCCCACACTACCCGCCCCGCGTTACCCGCCCTGTTCCGCGCTGCCCCGCCCCCATCCCGTTACGAGCAGTAGCAGCCGCACACGTAATAGCGTGTGCAGTCCCATGCGTTGCTCTGCCCCAATTACGAGCAGCAGCAGCCGCGCGCGTGGCCGTGCGCTGCCACGCTTTCGTCCCGTCCCGTTCAGCAGCCGCAGCTGCGCGTGCACACCTCCATACGCTCTGCTGCCCACGCATAGCTGTGCATGCGCTCCCGCCTCCGCCAGCGGCTTGCCAACGGAGGCGGGGTGCCCGTGCCTTGTCCACCGCCTTTTTACGCCCCACCTGCGACATTAGTTCTGGGGGGGGGGGGGGGGGGGGGGGGGTGAGGGGGAGGGGGGAGAGGTAGCGGGGCTGGAGGCCGTGAAAATGGGGGTGCTGAAGCCCCCTTGAACCCCCCGCCCCTCCCATTCCTCCTCATTGCTGCCCCTGCATCTCCAGTGCGTGCCGCATTGGGGAGGGGGGAAGGGGTGGGGGAAGTGAGGGTGTGGGATGGCAGGTATGTGAAGGCAGCCGCCAATCCTCCTCTCTTCCGCTGCACCTCTCTTCATCTCCTCCTACTATTTCTCGTGACCACAATGAGACCGTCAGTTAGTCTTACATGCAGTTAAGGGAGGATGCTGAAATCTATAATTGCATGCTAGACACTTAATGTAGTATCATCTAGGTTTTCTGCTGGTGGTGTACCCCCTGTGCCACCTATATCTTGTACCTTGATTTTTTGAACAAACCCCCTTTCTCATCTCTCACGCTACTCACGCTAGTCACGCCATGACTCCTAAGCCTCAAGTTAGTAGCTGTTTCAACAGTCACTAACTAATTTTTCCAGTATTCAACAAAAAGTGTGGTAAGCCTGGAGTATTCATGTTTTAAAATCCGGCAACTCTGAAAGACAGGGTTCCTAGGAAAATAGTACTACAAATCAAATAGTCTGATAGAGAGTCAGCCTTGCCAGAAGCGTTTTAATTATGCATCAAATTCACGACAATGCAGTTCATCTTACGATACGAACACAGAAGTCTATAACCAAAAGAAATCATGGCACACAAATGAACTTGGCCCCTACACTACCAACACACTTCTTCTCATTGTACATATAATGAATTGCTCCATTCGCAGCTCCACCATAGAAACTGTAAGCACCCGAGCATGTCAGTGACGGCGACACTGGTTTTTGCCTGCCCTTCTTGCATATGCCAACAACGAATGCCCAATACTCTGCTCTTAGGCAAATCTGATGCAGTCGCAACACAACAAATAGAACAAACATGCATTGAGAGTAAAAACTTAGGCACGCACTCAACGAGCAATGAAGGGAAAAAAAGTTGGAGAACCATTCTCTGGCATATGAGAAATGACTCCTTGCCCCCTCACCCATCAAACATACGTTCCGTTCACCCACCAATTTTCCATCCATATCCTTCCCATCTCTTGCGCCCCCAACCGGTTCCCCTCCGCCCCTCACCTGCATGCCAGTGCTGCTGCCAACAGCAGAGGCGGAGACCGGGATGACACTCGAGCAGATGAGGCCAGGATTGTTGCGGTACAGCTCAGCCCAGCGCGTAGCGTTCTCCTTCCCATCCCCCGTTGGGTCGTCCTCACTCGCTGCCACCTGCAGCAGCAGGCGCTCACACGTGTCCTGTGCTGTAAGCATGCCGTATCGCAGGCACCGAGGCACAGTGTAGGCGAAGGTGGCGTTGCGCTTGATGCACAGAGAGCGACCCGCCTTGATGTGCTCTGAGCAGTTGAGGCCGGGATTGAGTGCTGTGAGGTTGCTGGTGGTAAGGAACAGCTGGGCTCTGATGGACCAGCATGTGTCGCCCTCGAGGCTGGATCAACGGGAGAGAATTCATAGGAGCCTGAGGTGAATGGAGCGGGGCAATGCATGACTGCAGTCAATGCCCTGTAGTGAGGAGCACATATTATTTTCAATCAACCGTTCATGGGGTGGCATACCGTTTGCATGATGGGTCGGCAAGTAAATGGAACGAGGGAGCTTAAGGTGCTAGGTGAAGGTGTTGCAAAAATGTTTGTTCTGATCGACTTCATTTGACCCGTTGAAGATAAGACAATGGGGTATAGAGTTCTCTTCTGAAGAACCAACATCTTCCAGAATATGCGATAAATGATTTTTCGGATCTACAACTACCCCTACCTCCCTCTCTACCCTTCCAGCCTCTCCATCTCCACTGCTTACCGCATTCTGATGTCTGAATTGGGCAAGTGAGAGGCCCACAAGACCGAGGACATCGGAGCACCACCAGTTGCTCCCACTCACTGCCAGGGAGCTGGCTGTGACGTTGGCTGGGAAGGACGAATGTAAAATCAGGAGAACACACCCAAAACAAACCTATTAGTTGTGTGTGCATCACATGGGTGGACACTGGAAGTAGATCGTGGGGGTGGTGATGACCCCAACATGTCGTGCAAGAATAATCAAAAGGAGCAGCGACCCTCCTACAAACGAAGGCAAGGCAATAGCACCTGGGTCGCAGGTGGGGAAGTTGTCAATGGTTGTGCTTGCAACGTAGTTGGGAGGGCAGATGCAGGAGTAGGAGCCCTTGGCGTCGTTGATGCATGCTCCCACGTAGCACGGGTTCTTTAAGTCAGACCCACACACATCCACTGACAAGCGACACAAACACAATTGTGGAGCATAGCGTTGAGAGATATACATGCGTTGGGAGCAATGGGAGAGTTGGCTGGGGGGGATTGGAGGGAGAGAGAACTCCAAAAGAATGTAGACAGAGGCTTGGTTGAAAGAATATGTGAAGATCAAACAAGCCCATTGTTCTGAAAATGACTTGAGAACCTGAACTGAACAACTTACAGTAAGCACATGTTTGGGAGCCATATCCGTTTGCAACTTGAACGAATGGCTGCTCAGATTCGTTGGGAATGAAACAGTCACACGAGTTGCTATTGTTCCGTAGGTTAGCCCGGCACGTGAACCGCCCACACGGGTTCATGCTGGGCTGCAGGTCACCATCGCCCTTGAAGCTCCTCTAGCCGCAAGGGTCCTTGGGGACTAGAGGGTGGGACAGACGAGAACATGAGTAGAAGCAGGTGCGTATGCAGATTCATTGGAAAAGACTGTGGGCAGGAAAAGACAAGCCTTAGCAAAATGACAGATGTAAAACTTGGAAACAGCTTACAGCTTTGTAATTGACCACCTTACAACTTTGTGGACACCATTGGCTCACACTCTCTTCTCTCTGTTGACAATGCCTCCATCCCTCTCTAATTTATAGCGAAAATTTGAGGCCATCCTCTGGACTAAACGATGAGAAAATGCTTGTTCGGTGAATTTCACCCTGGCCCAAATATTGTTGACCATGTGATGTACTCAAAGGGGGGAGTGCCATATGAGGTGTGCGATGGGGGAAGCTGCCCCCCTCAAGACCACAAGGTAGATGTCTCATTTTTGACAATGGAATAGATTCCTCACTCTTGACTATAGGGTAGATGCCAGGCAGCACGTTGATGCCACACACGCCATCCCCTTCCTGAATGTCTATGCGCATGTGGCCCCGGTCGCCCCACTCCACTCCCCACGGGTTGCGGAGAATCCAAAATGGAGGTGCAATGCGATTTTGGCTCCCGTCATTTCTCAAGACAAAGTAGCCAACAACGAGTATGACGTGGTTGAGTTTGCCGGTATAGCAGCCAGGATCCTGGTACTTGAAGGTCTGAAAAGAAGGTAGGCACCACAACAAATAACAAACAACCATTTCAGGCATACAGCTTAATGCGGGTAACAACTTGTGTACAACTCTGGGATGGATTTTCGGGATACAGCTTAATGAGGGTAACAACTTGTGTACAACTTTGGGATGGATTTTAGGGATACCGCTTAATGGGGGTAACAACTTGTGTACAACTTTGGGATGACTTTTAGGGATACAGCCTAGTGCGAGTAACAACTTGTGTACAACTCTGGATGGATTTTAGGCATACAGCTTAATGCGGGTAACAGCTTGTGTACAACTCTGGGATGGATATTAGGGATACAGCTTAATGCGGGTATCAACTTGTGTACAACTCTGGGATGGATTTAAGGGATACAACTTAATGCGGGTAACAACTTGTGTACAACTTTGGGATGGATTTTAGGCAGACAGCTTAATGCGGGTAACAACTTCTGTACAACTCTGGGATGGATTTTAGGGATACAGCTTAATGCGGGTAACAACTTGTGTACAACTCTGGGATAGCTTTTATAAATACGGCTTAATGCGGGTAACAACTTTTACACATCTCTTGACAACTTGTGGACCGCAAAAAGGATCAACGCAAGAAGCACCCACCCCTTCATAATGCGCAAAATCCGGAGCAGAAGCCTCGATGTGAACCACCACGGGCTGTCGTCGCACTGCGAGCATGAGCCCCACAAACCCCTTGAACCTCGTGTGCTCAAAGCCATGCACAGGGTACTCCTTTCTCTGAAGATGATAAAAAAAAAGGATTTCATTACAAATAGGAAGAAAGAGAAAGAAACATAAACCGTGAAGAACGAAAGTTTGCTTGCTGAATTTGCAAGCGGCCAATCATAGCAAGCAATAGAGTGAAGGGTGCATTACAAAATGATTAGAATGTACATTTTGTACTCAAATACGTTGTCTTCCAAGTCTGGCTTGGTCCTCTTCCGGCTCATGGCAAGCTAGCATAGGTCGACCCTTCATCATGCCTGGTAATAGCTTTTTGCCTCTTGCTGCCATGACTTGGCCTCTTGGCCCCGAACTGACCGATTTATTATTATGTATCAGACTTCAAGCGCGCTTGTATGCTAACAGGACGTTGGTTCAACTTGGGTATAAGTTGCAGCCCATGACAATGGCTTTAAAGACTTAGAGAGAGTCCTCATATCACCAGTTGTAGAATAGTCGCAACTCTCTCTCACGCACTCAAAGTTCCTGAAGCTCTCATCAAAATCTATACATTCTAGTCTTTCACATCATCATACTACTCACACTCGATCCAACCTCTGTGACTCCACCGCGCGGCAACATGAGAAGCCTTTTAAATGCCTCGGTGGGAGAGCCCCCCGTGATGCACTTGTCAGCTTCGGAGGTGAGCCCCATCGCTGCAAAGAGTGACTCCACTGACAGCTGCGGCGCCTCTCCATTCGTTACAATGCCGTATGCCGCTTCCACGCTCGCCACCAATGCAAAAGCCCAGCAAGCACCTGGATAAGATGAACACAGTTTCATAGATAATTGAAGCTGATGCGACGATGGCTGAAAAACGATGGAAACACGTATTGAGCGGAGCATTGTGCGATAGTTGAATTGAAACATGAAAGTGACCAGCAGCAGAGCAGCAAACGGAAACTTGCAGACTGTAGCAAGCAACCAACCAAGATACACCAACCAAGGTATCAGCTCCAACATGCTACTCCGGGTTCCCCAATGGATTCACTCACTGCAGTCTTTTTGGTCCTTAACGGGCCAGCCAAGGAAGGGCACAGAGTCCCAAGAGAGGAAGTCGCTGATGACCCACGAGTCCTGCTTGCCGGGCGCCGATCGATAGTCCGCACTCACGTAGCGCGGGAAGGGGCTGGCCCATGCTGGCATGTACGTGTTTGTTGATAGCTGCAGGCCATAGGCTGGGACGTGCTCGGGAGTTGCAGTACAGAGGAAGGAACGGGATGTGAAGTTGACAAGTTGTTACAAGAAGATATTGAAGGAGAATAATGAGCACAATGGGATGGAGTGCATTGCCCTTACATTGCTGGGCTGCACCCCATATCTGATCATATGTGCATCTCATGTGGCCATTCCACATCCATTTCACATCCAGCAAACAAGCACTCTGTTTAGTGCTGATGCACCATTACTGATACTTCAATCATGCGCGATTCAGGCCTCTCATAAAGAAAACGTTTCCCTAAATCGGTATAGCATAAACATTGTTGCTCAGTTTATCTTTTCCACTTTGCTTGGGATTTAGGTGCACTGTGCTGAGCACCATCAACCACATGGTGTAGGTTATTCCTCCTACTTGCACCTAATCTACTGAATGCATGCACATTCAAAACGAAGAACCTTTAAAAAAGTAAATGAATGGTAAGGATAGTGGAAAGATAAACAAACTTGAGGGCAAACATTTGTACAAATATCAAGACGATTATAACAGTCAGTCAGTCACAACGCTTGCCTCTTTGTCCTTCTAACAGAGGTAATTGTGAGAGTCGCAGCAGAAGCATGGGAGACGATGTCTCACCTGGATTACGTGTGACTGGTAGGGAAGAAGCAGGAAGGCGTGAGAAGAAACAAAGCAATCAGAGCGAAGAAAAATGTCTCGTAAGATTCTGAGAATGTGTGACTCATATTTAATTGTCACTTTCACATTGAATGTATGGGTCAAACCGTGCATCCACTTTCAGATAGAATGTATTGGACAAACCGTCCATCGATACCCTCATGAGCACCAGCAGTACCCTCACCTTCACCAGCACTGCCCTCAACTTCACCAGCACAGCAACTATTTTTACCAGAACTACCCCCATCATCACGATAGTTTACACCACCATCCACTCCCACGCTCGTTGCCACCTCCTTCACATCCTCCAGACCGCACCTCCAGTGTTGTTAACCACCATGCCAAGTTCATCGCTCTGCCAGCACACACTGCCTACCAGTAACCACTGTCGAATCAAGAATGACGTGCTGCTGAAACGGTTTCACAGTGGTGGACGCCACAAAGCCAAAGAAGAAGGCGGGCCGTTCGGGTGCACCTTGCAGCATCTCACACAGTGCCAGCCTCCTCTCCAGCATCGCCTGCTGTGGCTTCTTCTGCGAGTCAGCTAGGAAGACCTGGATGGTGCCCGGATCCCCCGGCTTATAGTCCACCCACGCTGTGTTCTCCTTTGTGCTGCACAAAGGGAAGGGTGACCTCACAGCGGCCAGCGACCTGTCCTGGCCTCGAATGTTCAGCCCTACATGTTGGCTGCTCATGTCGCCATGCTCCTTGTTCTGCAGCGTGTCAAACTCAACCGCCATGTTCCGCTTGTCCATTTCACCATACCCCACACCAGCGCCGCTCCCCACCCGGTCCGTTGCCGAGACGACAAAGGCAAAGCCGTTGAAGCCCACGCGGCCAGATCGAGGCGAGAGGGAGAAGGTGAAGTTGGCGTGGAAGGCGAGCTCCAGCCCACACCTTGACAGCGCCTGCCCTTCCTCGTACACAAACAGCGTCACCGGCGCTGCAGTGAAGTTCCCACTTGTCTTGCGCTGCGTCCCCTTGGTGAGCACAGATGCTGGTGGGAGAACCGGCTGGCTACTCGAGTAATTTCTGTCCTGGCCTGGACAAACATAACAGAGGGACGGACAGGAGTGGGACATGCGTAAAAACATGAGCGAAGATGGAAGGAGCTCAAGGTTCTTTACTACTTCAGAAAATGGGTTGGAACAGATGGAGAGGGAATGGGGGGCAATCCCCAAGTAGATCGGCTGAAATCTTCAATTGGAGGGGCTGGAGATTTCAGCTGGTCACATCACAATTGGGTTGGGTTGGGATATTGGTGTAACACTCAACCACGAATTTCAGTAGAGCTACACTGTGAGATCCCCGATCGATCCTAGGGGGGGTTACAGGCGCGTTTGCCTGGGGGGTTATGGGCGCACTGACCCGCTACTGAAACAAGCCCTTTTATCCCAATGGTCTAGTGGTTGGGATTCTGACATGGTATCAAAGCGGTCTCGGGTTTGATTCCCGGTGTATGCACATGTAGGCCGTTGCCGCTGTGCTTAGTCCTGGGCCTCCCAGTGTGGGGGGGTGTCAGTAGAGCTACACTGTGAGATCCCCGATCGATCCTAGGGGGGGTTACAGGCGCGTTTGCCTGGGGGGTTATGGGCGCACTGACCCGCTACTGAAACAAGCCCTTTTATCCCAATGGTCTAGTGGTTGGGATTCTGACAACGAAAACTACTATGCTAAAGTAGGAGATAAAAGTGAAGTACAAAAGTTCACATGGATGTCTATGTCTAACAATATGGAGGCATGAAAGGGTGAGACTTACGAAGGTCGAACAGATTTACAATCTACAAGCTACTGGAGTTCATGTGAGTTGGACGTCCCACCATTATGTGAATATGTCCGTGGTCATGTTTCATCGACTTCAGTGTCCCCTATTTTGGGCAAGACAGCTGATCTTTCCAAATTGCACGAATCCCGCGTTGCATAGACATGTGGGTGCCAAGCTAGCTCCCTCTGGATAGCACACCCCATGTCCTCCACACGCAGCAGCAGTTGCATCAGCATCAGCAGCAGAGGAGATGCCACAGAATGCATTGCATGCTGCCTCCTGCCGTTGCGGTACCAAGGTACAGCCAAGCAGCAGCATGAAGCAGTTGGCATCAAAAGAGAGAGGCTGGCATGCCTCGTCGGGCAGAGGGCCCGAGAGGAAGTTGCTGGAGAGATCTAGGATGCGTGCAGCAAGAGGCATCACTGCAGGTCCTGTGAGGTAGTTGTGGGAGAGGTCGCTACAGGGGGGAGGGGTAGGTGCCGGGAGAAAGACGTATGGAGATCACCTCATTGCATCCAGACTTGCAAAGTGGAGTTCAAGGAGGGAAGGTGTGAGGGGTTGATGAGTAGCATGTGTATAAATGAGGGAGGAGAAGAGGACGGACACGGCATAAAAGGAAAACAAGGAGTATGACAAGCGGACCCGAGGGGGAATAGGAGGTAAATAAGGAGGAGGCAGGCGAGATCCATATAATCGTATTGACGCATTGACGTGAAGAGGAAGAAGAGGCATATAAGCATGGCAACCACGAGCATTCACGTGGTGATGTTAAAGTCAGTTTCCACAAAAAAAGAACTATAGTGCATGCTTGGTTGGAACAACGGGCGAACACCAAATGTAACACTTCAATAGGTGGAAGGTAGACTTCGTAAAAGACATGAGCAACGGCGAAAACCAAACGCGTTTGCCCAAACGTCCCCGAACAGTTTAATAGGGCGATCCGAACATGTTCGGTTCGCCCCAACATTATTTTCACCTTTTGCATGTTTGGTGTATGGTTAGTGTGGGCGAACATGTTTACTGTTCGCCGAACAACTACATGTTCGGCAAATTCCGAACATGCTTGGTGTTTGAAAATAAGGAATTCACAGATTCTGTGAATTAACAGGTTTCACCTGTTGTAAGGCCCCGTCCTTGCTTGGGCGGAGCCAACCTTGTGGTCGGATGTGCGGGGGTTGCAGCCGACCTGCAGCAGTGGGCACGGAGGCCACTGCAAGGGCGCCAAGCTGGAGGGCGCCTGGCTTGAGGGCGCCGAGCAGGAGGACGCCGTCCTGGACGGCATCCTGGGGAGCTGGACGCCGAGCTGGGCGTCGCCACGACTACCCGGGCGCCTGGTCGACGTTGAGGGCGCCTGCACGACGTTCTGGAAGGCCAGACGTCGACCTAGGCGTCTGCACGGCGTCTTGGGGGTCGGACGCCGGCCTGGGCGTCTGGTCGGCGTCCTGGGAGGAGGGACGCCGCTCTGGAGGTTTGCTCGGCGTCCTGGGCGCCTGGACGCCGGACTGGAGACGCCGGGCATCCGTCGCCGGCTACGGACTGCGTTGGTCGGCCAGGCGTGGTTGCCCGGTCGACCGGAATACCCGGGCGACGTGCGCGAGTGTCGCCAGGGTGGAGTCTGCGAGGTCGACCTCGGGGGTGGTATCCCGAGGTCGACGTGGCTGGTGGGCGCAGTCGCTGGCGTGGAGTCTGCCAGGCGTCTGCGCTATGCACGTGACAGGGAAGTGCGCACCTGCGAAGCAGGTGTGCCGTTGTCCTACGGGTGCAGCGCTGTGTAGCCGACTTGCTGCAGCGCTGGCACACCGTGGACTTGCAACGTTGGCGAACCGCTACTCTGCAACGCTGGAGCGGTGCGAGCGCTGCTGCGCTGGAGGTCGACCAGCAGCCTAGCTAGCACGGATGTAGTCTGTGATGCCAATGTTGTTGCTATCATTATTGTCATGTTTTCCTAGTGAAACTCTTGCCGATTCTCCCCGTGAACTAGCAAGCAGCGTGAACACAAGGAAACGACTAAGTGAACAAACGCAGAGATCACACGAGCACCCGTGCCTAGCCCGTAGTCTAGCTCCCGTTGCAGCAGTTATCTCCGCATCACCACCCCTGTTTCATGCAATCATGTATAACAACACCTGCCCATACATGTTTAGGGGGTGGGGAACACGGGGGAAGAGGGCAGGGCGAGTCGGAAACTCCCAAGAAAGCAACAGTCTTAGGAAATGACTAAGCAACGACTAATCAACCTAAGCTACCATAAGAAACCGTTAAGTTGGGTGGAAATGGGCTGGAAATGAGCCTAGTACTCCTTATGCAGTGTAATTAACCTAAAAGCATAGATTAAGGTCGAAATGACCTCAATCTATGCTTTCCGTAGGTCTTACATCCAACCAGCGCAACAAATGTCGCGATGCTTTTTTTTCCAACATCTAATGTTCGGAAAACCGGGGAAACTTCCCGAACATGTTCGTTGTTTGGAATTTTTCCCGATAGAACTTTTCAAACACTGAACATGTTTGGGGCAAACCCTGAACATGTCTGGGCGAACCTTTTTCACAAAAACGAGGGGTAGAACTTGTTCGACCCGAATGTGCTTGAGGTTTGGAAAAGTGCTCATGTCTAACAGGACCAGTCACATTCAAGAAATCATTACATTTTGTTTGGTTTTGGTTAGTGTTCAGTGTGCATTACCCTCACTTGAAGAATTCCGCCTCACTACTTTAAAACTGTTTTTGTTTTCCTGATCCTTGTGACTAGAGAGCATTCATGGCACGGGTGGTGCTGCTGTTGGCTCGCTCACAGCATGATTTTGAGAGAACAGCGAGCATGGGTGCATGATTTGTTGAGTGTGTCAAGAATAATATATATTTCTATATATTGTTTTGTAACTGCCTGTAGTGTAGACTAGTGTAGTTATATAATGTTCTGTTTTGGTGGTGCACCTTTCATCTTGCCTATATGTATTGCTCGCTCTATAGTGAAAACTCTCCTCTTCTCTCTTCAACTCACTCGATACTCTCCTAACTCAAACTCAACTAGCTATGGCTCCTTAGCCTAGCTAAGCTCTTGATATGGTACAGAGCATGTAACGCTCCTGGACTCCTGCTTCCGCTGCTACTAAGTGTTCTGCACGCCCCGTGGTGTGCCCTACTCTCGCGGCCCCGCCGCCCTTCTTAAGCGGCCCCGCCGCCCTACTGTCGCGGCCTCGCCGCCTCTCTGCTGTCGCGGCCCCGCTGCCCTACTGTCGCGGCCTCGCCACCTCTCTACTGTCGCGGCCCCGCCGCCCTACGTCGCGGTCTCGCCGCCCTTCACTGCGGCCTCGCCGCCCGTGCGCCGACGTCTGCGAAGCCGCCGCCCGTGAGCCGCCGCCCGTGAGCCGCCAGTGGCCCGCCCGTGCGCCGACCGCCTGTGCGCCGCCCGTCCGTGAGCCGACGCCGCCCGTGAGCCGCCCACCCGCGCGCAGCCCGACCGTGAGCCGGCGCCGCCCGTGAGCCGCCCGCCCGTGCGCCACCAGCCTGCCCGTGAGCCGCTGGCGCCGCCCGTGCGCCGCCCGTCCGTGAGCCGCCAGCCCGTGCGCCGCCCGCCCGTGAGCCGCCCGCCCGTGAGCCGGCGCCACCCGTGGGCCGCCCGCCCGTGCGCCGCCCGCCCGTGCGCCGCCCACCCGTGAGCCGCCGCCTCTGAGCCGCCCGTCCGCGAGCCACCCGCCCGCCCGTGAGCCGCCCGTCTCCTACACCTGCGGTCCCGACCCCGTCCCGGCCATGCCTCGTCACTAGCTACGGCACACCGGGGGCACGTGCACCCCCCCCCCCCCTTCTTCCCGTCACCTGTCGCGGCTCCTTCGGGGGCCGCACGCGGCCCCCTCAGGTCGCCTTGACAGGTGACGGGAGGGGTGACCTGAAAGGGGGGGGCAGTCGTCGCCCCCTCTGCCGCTTGCTTTGGCGCCCGGGGAGGCCGTGCGTCGCCCCCCCCCCCCCTCTTCTCCTCCTCCTTTTGTTCCCTCTGCTGCAGCTGCCGCTGGGGGGGAGGGTGTGGGAGTGTGGGGGAGCCCGGGGAGGGACTGGGGGTGGCGGGTGTGGGGGTGATGGGTGATGTGTGGTCCCCTGGCCCTACGGCCCCATTCTCCTCCGTTTACCCCCCCCCCCCCCCCTCTGCTGCTCCTGCAGCAGTGTGAGGGGGATGGGGAGGGGGAGGGGGAGGTTGAGGAGATGTAGGGGGTGACCAACCAGAGCCTACCACCTCCTCTCCTCTCTCTCTCCTCTCTCCCTTCTGTTCTCTGTTTTCTGCACTGGTTGTCACTGCTCCTGCCTACTGCTGCTACTTCAACTGCACTCTGCTTGGTGTACCCCATTATGGGGGCGTTGACTGCATATTCTTCCCTACAGGCACTTATGGGGGCGTGTCAAGAATAATATATATTTCTATATATTGTTTTGTAACTGCCTGTAGTGTAGACTTGTGTAGTTATATAATGTTCTGTTTTGGTGGTGCACCTTTCATCTTGCCTATATGTACTGCTCGCTCTATAGTGAAAACTCTCCTCTTCTCTCTTCAACTCACTCGATACTCTCCTAACTCAAACTCAACTAGCTATGGCTCCTAACTCAAGCTCAACTAGCGTACGAGAGGGAGAACGCCAGAGCATGCGGAAAGGAGTGAGGTAGTGAGTGGGTTGTACAATTATAAAAGCTGTGTGAGCTTGGTGATAGTGCTCGGTATGCTTCCATACAGCTCGTTGAAGGCAAGACTCCTAATGGCCATGGTGGGGAGATGGAAAAAGGATAGAGAAGGGCGACCGGAACGATAGACGGGAAAATGAGGAGGGATGGAAACCAGGTTGGATAGGTGAGTGAGAGGAGATTGAAGGGCTGAGCAGACACGAACCGTGGCCAGAGGCGTGGTGGTGATATAGAAGAATTGTGCAATACTCGCATGCTAAATTGACATGCTAGACTCAGTTACATACTGGATTCATGTGCTGGATTCACTTGCTAAAATCATATACTAGATTCACTTGCTAGGTTTACTCGCTATCAGTACTTCTAGATTCATGTGCTTGATTCACTTGCTGAATTCCCATACTAAATTCACTCGCTAGATTCAATTGCTAGATTTCTTCGCTAGATTCACTTTCTAGTTTCGCACGCTAAATTTATATAGATTTATGTGCAAGACTCACTATATAAATCCCCTTACCAGATTCACTTGCTAGACTCATTCGCTAAATCCACCTTCTAAATTCACTCGCTGGATTAACTTACTAGATTGATTTGCTGCCTGGTGGAAGTGTCTCCAGCGGTACACGACACACGAGGTTCACGCCAACGCTGTAAGACAAAGCACCAAGAAGCCACACTGGGGCTCGCATGCTAGATGCATTTTGCAAAGGCATGATTTCATAGAAATGCCATAGATTTAGGATTGACCAAGGACATGGTGTGAGGGCCAGAATTGCAGCCGCACGTGAGCTTACCGGTAGTGTAGTTGGGAGAGTTCCCCAAGAGAGTCAGGAATCCTTCCACTCAAATTATTGCTCTGTACAAACCTGTGCAGTGCACGTGCATACAGAACACTGCTCTGGTAGCATACCCAGCACAACAAACACATTCATACAATGAACTACAGTAGACATGCGCAACGAGTCGAGTATTTTGTAGGCTGTTTCCGAGAAATTACTCGATTTTGTCGAGTGGAGTTTTTTATCGAGGTACTTGTGATT